ATGAAAGGCGTCACCCTGCAGGGCAGCATTAATCTCATCATAAACAGAGCAAATGTTAATGTTGACACATGAATCGCAAGAGTAAGTATCATCAAAATCTGCTAATGAGGGAAAATCATGCCATAATTCAGCATAAGTATCATCAACTAAATCAGAAAGTAGCTCAATGTGAAAAATATAATGTTCTTCCACGGGGTGTTTCATGGTGTCAAAAAGATGTTAAATTTTGCAACGATATCACCAAACTCCATGGACACTGTGTCATCATCAACATCAATTTTTGTCTTCGCTGTTTTCATGAACGGTCTTCCTAGAATGATGGGTGTCATGTTTAGCTTTGTTTCTCCTTCCATGTCAAGAATGTAAAAATCTGTAGGAAAAATCAAATCGTTAACTTCCACAAGCACATCTTCAATTGCTCCAGCAGGGTGTGCATTGCTTCTATTCTCTAGTTGAATGATTAAATCAGTATTCTGCAAAGGACCAAGATCAAGATTATTAAAAAGAGAAGTAGGCATAAAATTAATGCACGCTCCTAAATCAAGCATGCAATTTTCGAATTTACTATTCCCAACGGTAAAAGGGATAGAAAAAATTCCTGAGTCCTTACACTTTTGTGGCATGGCCTGGAGGAGGGATGAAACATTTTGCTTAAGTGTGTCCTTAGATTGAATGAAAGCAAAAATATTTCTTTCCATATTTACTCTCTCATTCCCTTTTGATATTCTCTTGTAAGTACATAAGTCTTTGAGAAGTTTGGCATATTTCAGAATTTGCTTAATTGCATCAAGAAGCGGAATGTTCACTGCCACTTTTCTAAACGCATCCAAAATATCTCTCTCTCTCTTTGTCCTCCTCATCACTCTTCCTATTTTTCAGTACTCTATGTGGAAAATGATCTTAGGTACATACTTTGAAACATTCACTGATGATTTTCTCATAAGTTCTGGATTTATTTTATGAAATATAAATTTGAGGTCTTTTCCAAGTTCAAATTGTGGAAGGCAGAGGTTGAGAACCAGGCAGGGAGAAAAATAAAGTATTTGAAATTGCAATCACGTTATCGTATGGTATCATTCTTTTAATTTTTATTTTTTTTGTCAATTTGCGTGTACGTTTTTTATTATTATTCATTTGTTTATAATTTGTTCGATATTTAATTATTTGCGTGTTTGTAATTCATTCACATTTATATTGTATTATGTTCACTTCGTCTATTTAGCCTTGTACCCTAAAGACCCTTAATTATTCAATAAATTAAAATGTTAGTCCATGATCATTTTTTAGCCTAGCAGATTGATTTTTTTTCTTTTACCAGGTGTTGCTTGAATCACAAGTTAGAACACTTAAATCAAGGTGTTAAGTTGTTTGATTTGAATCATGTACATTGTACGACTCGAATCACGCAAGTTGTGAAAATTGGATTTTGCCTCTGTGTGATTTGATTCGAATCACAAGATGAACCTGACTCGAATCATATCTCTCCGTGATTTCTAGAATTAGGCTCTGCCTAATTTGATTCTAATCATAAGTTGAACTTAACTTGAATGATGATTTCCACTTGATTAGAATTATATGCTCAAATTCTAAATTTCTATTTTAGATTTTGATAGTTGTTTCTTTATCCAAATAATGAATTAGTGAGTCTCATTATTAAATTTTTCATGATGAAATGTTTGATGAAAACCTTTAGACAAAACTTGTCAATTTGTTTTTCCTTCTCTAGTGTGTCTATTCCTAGCACCGTTGAATCTTTCTCTTGTTTGATGAGAAACTTCTTAAGTATATATTCATGTCAGGTTCCATCTCTTATTGTTACATTATGTGTAATTTTGTTTTTGAGAGAAACCAGAGAAAGAGAATTGATAAATCCTGAAATGATTCATCTTTTATCAAGCTCATGATAACCTTCAAGATCCAAGACCCATTCGTCCATAAAATTGAGAGAACCTTTGTGTGTGTTCTTCATTCACCACCATCTAATTCCTTGTTTTTATCTTGTGAATCAGACAGAAGAGAGAGAGAGAGAGAGAGAGAGTGTGTGTGTGTGTGTGTGTGTGTATGTGTGTGTGTGTGTGCGCGCGTATGTGTATGTGTGTGTGTGTGTGTGCACGTATGTGTATGTGTGTGTGTGTTTGAGGGTGCATTTGTGTGCGCGTGTGTGTATACATGTGCATGCGTGTGTGTGTGGGCATTGTATGAATATGTATGTGTGTGTGTGTGTACGCGCGTATGCGTGTGTGTGTGTGTGTGTGTATGTGTGCATGTGTGCATGTGTACGTATGTGTGTGTGTGTGTGTGTGCATGTATGTGTGTGTGTGTGTGTGTGTGTGTGTGTGTGTGTGTGTGTGTGTCCGTGTGTATGTGTGTGTGTGTGTGTATGCGTGTGATTCTTTTGGAAATTTTCATCATCTTCAACCTTAGTTCTTATCCAGCTGTATTGACCCTCATCTCTAAAGATTGATTGTTTGAGGGAGACTAGTGGTACATTAGGGTATCTAATATTTTTATGTGAATTTTGTTATTTGCAACATGTGTAGAGATCATTTCTTGAGTTCAGTTTGGATGTTGTTTTATTCATTAAGAGAAGAGTTTTCAATATAATCCATGGAAGACTCTGGGGAGGTTAAGTACAAATTGTTCATGATACAGAGTTGAAAGTTGTCCAACTTTGGTGAAGTTGTCTAAAGATTGTTCATAGACAAGGTTGGGAGTTGTATAATTCAACGCTTAGCTAATGGCAATCGCTCAGACAAGAAATCAGTGGGATTAAGGTGGATTACCATATACAAAGACTTGGAGTAGGTTATTGTGGATAGCAAGGTTATTGGGTCAAGATCATTGAAGGTCTTGTTTTTGTTAGCGGTTTGAGTATCTGCATCAACAAAGGAAATTATCGTGTTTGAAGATCATTATAACTAAAATTCTTGTATCAAACTTATAAAATAGTGGAAGATCGTGATTATTTCCAGAGGTTTTGGAACCTAAAATAATTTTGAAATTGTATTTTGGGGATAGGTCTATTCAACCCCCCCCCCCCTTTTCTAAACCATTCTTGTTTCAATATTCTCATCCAATAGTATTTGCGGCCTGATAATGGAACTGAATACATTAACAAGAAGTTCATGCATTTCTGTGAGGAGGATGGAATCCAGAGGAAATTTTCTGTAAGAAAGACACCACAACAGAATGGTGTTGCAGAGAGGATGAATAAGACTCTAACGGAGAAGATAATGTGCCTTTAGTTGAATGGTAGTCTTTCAGAAGGTTTATGGGCAAGAACACTCAATATGGCACGTTATCTAAGATCACCGTGTGCTTCATTGGATGGAAAAGTTCTGAGGAGGTGAGGATAGGTAACCATATTGATTTGAGTAATTTGAGGGTCTTTTAGTGTACAACATAAGTGCATATTTCATGTGAGGATCAGTTTGAACTTGACCCCAAGTCAAAATAGTGCATCTTTATTGGCTACAATAAATGTGTGAAGTGGTACAAGTTATGGGATCCAGTTAAGAGGAATGTGGTTGTCAGCAGAGATGTTGTATTTGATGAGTGATCGATGTTGAAACAATCATATGTGACAGTTGTGTCAGATACTGAGGTAGAAAATTTCAATCAGGACAAGATTCAGGTGGACATTAAGAAGCCACCACTGGTCAAAGACATATTGTAGCCCAACAGCAGGATGAACCAGGATTCAGGTGGAGTGCAAGATTCGGGCAGACTACAAGACTATACACTTGTCTGTGATAGGGAACCCTATTGTATTACACCTTTAGTGAGATGAGTTTGAAGAATTAGCAGCATATGCTCTTCTTATCAGTTCAGGAAATCCTTCTACTTTTCGAGAGGCTATGGTTAATCAATAGAAAGAGAAGTGGATGTGTGTTATGGTGGAGGAGATTGAGTCCTTGAAAAAGAATGAGACATGTGATCTTGTTCATCTGCCACATGGAAAGAGAGCGATTGGTTGCAAGTAAGTGTACAAGAAAAGACCAACTATAACAGGAAAAGAAAAAAAGGAAAGTTCAATGCTATCCTAATTGAAAAAGGGTATTTACAACAGAAGGGACTTGATTATGATGAAATTTTCAGTGTGGTGGTTAGACACACTTTTATCAGGGCAATATTGACCCTGGTAGTCGGAAGGGATATGCATTTAGAGTAGATGGATGTGAAAACAGTTTTCCTCCATTGTAATCAAAAAGAGCAAATCTGCATGGAGCAGCCAGAGGATTTCAGTGATACTGACATGAAATACTTGTTTGCAAATTGAAGAAGTCTTTGTATGACTTGAAATAGTCTCCAAGGCAGTGGTATAAGCACTTTAGTTCATAAATTATCTGAATTAGCTATAGAAAGTGTGGTTAAGATTGTTGTGTTTATGGGAGGAGCCTTGATGATGGCTCTCTTGTTTTTCTATTACTTTATGTTGATGATATGTTGATTGGTGCAACTATTTGCTTGATGTAAATGAGTTAAAGACTAAGTTGGATAAGGAGTTTGATATGAAAGATCTGGATGCTGCGAAGAAGATTCTTAAAATAGAAATTCACTGGAATAGGGGAACTAATAAATTATGATTGTCTCGAAAAAAACGTGTTAAAGGTGTTTTGAGCAGATTTGACTTCAAATATAAAAGTGCGGATTCGAACCTGCGACATCCTATTTATTCACCTTTTAAAAAGGTGAATTTCAGTCATTAATCTACTTGACCCAAAAAAAAAATATATCATTCTATTATAAAATAAATAAATCAAAAGCATCATGGACATAAAATTATAATCAAACTACTGCCTCATAAACTAGAACCGTAGGACAGAGCATGAAAACATGAAAATTTATTCTTTTCACATCTTTCAATCAAATTGCTACATTTATTAATCTTACAACAGAAACAGACTTTACAACTTCAAATTCTCTCATTACTTATTTGAACAAATTATTTCATTTCTGTCACCATGATTCAACACCATATGGATATGAACAAATTATAATCAATGCCTTTCATAATCATAGAAAAACTCTCCTCCATAATCATCATCTCTTCTCCCACCATATGGATATGGATTTCCAAACAGATAATCTGCAGTTCCTTTCCACATATTCTCCTGACAGTGATTTTCTCTATTAATTCCTCCATTACAACAATTTTCTCTCTTCATTTTTGCCAAACAAGGCCAATACCCAAACAAACTTTCACATATATCCACAGTCTCCAAACCATATCCACTTGGATATTCATATTTAGAAGTCACTTCCTTCTCATAACTAGACCCTGAATTGTTATCATCATTATCATCTTCTTCAACATCATTTTCCTTACTATAATCACTATCTTCAGATTCTTCTTCACCTTCATAAGCCTCAATAGTTTCTTTTATAGTATTATCTTGTGTCTTTGGCTTTTCCACAGCAATTTGATCTATGGTTTCATTTTGTGGTTTGATTACTTTCTCTTCAATTTTGGCATCCTCCGAAGGGACCGGAACCAGAACCGGAATCGGAATCGGAGTTGGAACTGGAATTGGATTTGAAGTTGAGGCGGAACGAGGATAGCAGATCTTTTCAGAAGGTGGTTGAGGCTTGCCATAGGTTTCAACAATGTCATAGCCACCACCATAAGGTGTTGGATCATATTCATCAAAAGCAGGCTCATTGAATTCCAAGGTAGAATAAGAGAGAACAAGCTGAGTCATACCATAATTGGGATCATACACAAGATATTTAGGGTCACTAAAACTTGTGGTGGAATATGCTATGGTTTGGTGGTTATTATAACTATGATATGAATAACTAGGATCAGAAAAATATGAACTTGAATCATACCCATAATTTGGTTGATTGTAATCATAGTTAGATGGAACTTGATTATAATTATAATTGAGAGTATAAGAGTTGAAATTGTACTCACCATAATCAGATCCAGAATATGAAGAGTTGTAGTAGGCCATGGTTCATATGAGATTGAAGATGGAAACTTCAAAAGAGGTTAATCACTTCAAACACAACTATGCTTTTTCCTTCACATTTAAAGCTCTATTAAGTGGATTGGTACTATCTCACCCACCACCGTAGAACTCTTATCTATGCTAAAATGTCCACATGTAGTAAAGGAAAGAGGAAATTTATGTAGAAATATTTAACAATAATAATAAAATATTGGATGCCACAATGGGATCAATTTTATAGCATGTGTCAAACATTATGACTCGCCAAGAATTGGACAATAAAGTCAATAAAAAGCATCCATGGTTTTAAGATTATCTTGATCACAATTTTTATGAATCATGAACATAAGCTAGTTTAGGTGAAAGTGAAAGCACTTAATATTGTCACTTTGAGATCAATATATTTGTAATATATAAAAATGTTCAAAATGGATTTCCTAAAAGAAAAAACAAAGAAAAGTTTTGAGTTGAGACGTGTAGGACTAGTAGAACATGTCAATTATAACCAGCAAAGCAAGGGCCATGGATGGCAAATAGTCCATTGTTGCATTTGTTTAAAGTTGAAGTTAGAATATTCTTTTCAAAGGCTGATGGATACTGCAAAACCAATCCTTGTCATTTAACATAGTAGTTTGACTGTGACATAAAAAGAATCTCTAATCAGTGTCAAATGTTTTTTTTGTCAAATCCAATGGTTAGAATTCACCTTTTAAAGCCTCTAGTTCTAATATTCCTACACAGCTTAACAGAAGATTGTCCAAGTGTTTTTGATGAAATATAATTTTCTCGTTCACTTTTTTAAACATTTTTCTAAATTCTTCATGTAATCAAATCCGTTAAAACCCCTAATTGATACTTATATGAATGAGCCAGGTAGCTCGTTAGGGATTTGGATTAGGCGCAGCAATGCAGTCACATTCATATTTGCCAGATGGCTAGGAAATCTAAAACATCAAACTTGAAATCTGGACCATCTTGATCAGATGGTATCTCTACTGTGATTGCACACAATCCAAACCCGCCGCTACCGGCCGCTTGTCATGCTTGTCATGTCTGATGCAATTATGCACCACAATTAACCTAAAGCTTCACTAATTTGGCAATGTCAAAATTAAACATGCGCACATCAATGGATCTGTTGCATACCTATTAGTCACTTTATGTGTTCAAAATGTCATGATCGTCCAAGGAAATACTCATCACAAAAGCACAGACTAGTAAAGTGATAAGCAAATCCAAATTATACAAACTACCCTAACACCAGCAGTCTTACATCTCATAGACAAGACACAGTTCAGAAGCACACATTCCTCAAGATAATTACTGACTGACATGAACATTTGATCGTGCTTTAAACTATAAATATCACTATGCATCTGAATGAGAATCCAACATAGGTATCTGAATGAGAATCCAACATAGGTATCTGAACGAGAATCCTCTTTGTTTTGGAATTACTCTCAACAAAACTGAAAACCACCAGGAGGCTGCAACAAAAAAGTAAAAATAAGAACTAGTAAGGTTTAATAAGATACAGAAAATGCACAGAAAAAACTACTGAAACTTCGCACCATGGTTGTCAAGATCTCGATCGAGATCTAAAAATCTTACGATTTTGCGATCTCACTCACCCCCAACGATCCCAATCTTAAGTAGAATCATGTGTTATAGGCAAATTATAAATAAAAAAGACTGTAAAACCATTGATTTTGAGTGATCTTGGCCAGTTCCAGCCACAATCCGTCGTTTTCCGGCCACACTCCCCATTTTCTAGCCACCGCCATTACAGGCTGAGAAGGCGCAACAATTACGGTTCGGCAAAGGCCATTTTCCCACAAAACACTTGCCAACCAAAATATCATAAAAAAATTTTCAAATATTTAGTATAATTTTTTTATTTTAGTAATATCTTACGATTATTGTTACGATCTATGTTTTACAATCTTGCTACCCCCTCTCTATCTCACAAAAATAATTGGGTAGGATCTTCTGATCTTAGTTACGATCTTATGTTTTACGATTTTACTATGCCCTGCCGATCTTATGCAAGATCCCGATCTTGACAACCTTGTTTCGCACAACAATTCAGGATGAATTAACTAATTGATAAATCCCAGGGAATGAACTTCCATCTCCAAGGAAACCCATTTTCATTTCCTATTAAGATAAGATATGATTAACAAAATGCACGGGAATAACTAATGAAACTTCATGCAACAATTGGGGAAGAATTAACAAGATGATAAAACCTTGCAAATGAACTTCCATCTCCAAGGAAAAACATTTTCAATCCCTCTTGACAAATATATGATTAACAAAATGCACAGGAAAAACTAATGAAACTTCACACAACAATTAAGGAAAGATTACCAAATTAATTAAGCCATGCAAATGAATTTCCATCTCCGAGGAAACCCATTCTCACTCCCTATTAGGAAAAAAAAACCTATTTCTCCCTTGAGGAGAAGACATGAATCTTTGATACCTCGTATAGGTATCACAGTACAAATCACGAAAGAGAATATCAGTAACATCCAGAGTACAACAGAGAATGGAATTGGCTACCTCATTCAGAGGATGAATCTGAGGCGGTTGCCTCTAGTCTTGGCTTTTGACGTGATAAAGGGCCATCCCTCCGTCTCTCAAACCTTCTACTCTCATTCTTTGATCCACCACTACGTTTTGGTTGATACGTAGGGTACGTGCAAGGAATGATTTCCCCATTTATGTACTTGTCACCTAAAATTAAAAAGCATACATATTTAGTGACAAGATTATCAAGAGGAAGAGTAGTATAAACATGATATGTTAGGTTAAACTTGATAAAGTAACCTCCATAGTCTTTATTTTTAACATCTATGTATGAGTCTGGAAGGACCCAGAGAACACCAGGCAAACCTATAAGCAAGACAAGTATAAATAAGAGATGAATGGTAATAATTCATCAAGTAGAAAATAAAAAATTATCAAGATAAATTTCAATAAGAAACATTACCCTTGAATTTCTCAGAGGTTTCTTCATCAACAGTGCATTGAAATCCAGTGTAAGTTGTGGTGCTAAAGGCATACATGTTTTTCTTTGCTTCTTCCATGCTGATACACAATCACCAACACATCTATTACTTTTGTATTCATAATTAAAAGGTTCTACATAATATATCATTACCATTTTATTCCACATACATGTCCCCCACAAAATAGAATCCATCATTACCATTGTATATGATCCACCAAGGAAATCTTTTACAATAATATCCTAATTCTATTCCACAAGACCCATGATTTTGTTCCTAATCATATCTTGTCTCACGTGACCCGTGACCACTCATTAACAACAGAGTTTACTTGTTTGTTAGTTCATTACTGCATAACATTTATCCTCAAACCACACTTTAGTTCTTAGAGATGTGCATTAAAATTTTCCATTAAACTCAAGCAAATGAAGCAATACATTTCTATCAAAAGTACACCTAATGCATTTCTATCTACAGCACACATCACTTCAGTTTGTTTGGTAAACTTCAACAGAACGCATACAAACCTATGAAGCACAGACATCTCTAGGAGTAAGCGTGTTGCAGTGTCCGACACGTGTCAGTGTCTGACATTAGTATGACACTCGTACAACACGTGTTGAAAAAGTTAGAGGTGTCAGAAAAGTCAAACATGTGTCTCCAAACAAAATGGTTTTATTTTTGCTTCATCACTCTTTAAATCGGTGTCCGACACTCATACAACATGTGTCATACAATTCAGACAAGTATTTCAAAAAGAATTTGTTTTTTTACTTTACTTCAACACACCTTATACTTTTTTTTGGACAAATCTAATCCACATCTAAAAGGATTAAACATGTATTGAAACATAAAGACATTAATTTTGATTAGAATTAGAATATTTTTAAATCTTTAATAATAGATGGATAACACATGTAGCGGTGTGGGTGTCCTATATTTTTTACAATATATATGTCAGAGTTTCTCTGTGCTTGATAGATGCAAACTTTGAAATAGTATATGTATTGAGTCATATTTGAACCATGCTGAACAAGTTATTTATGTGTGACACTTTTGCTATATGTCCTAGATTGTTGGGAACCTAACTTCATCTTTAAAACACAATTAATCAAAAAATTGCAACCATTCTCAATTCCATAACATCATGTATCAGTAAATCTTCTACAAACAACTCTGAAACTTCCATTCAACAAAAAACTCTAAATATCACTAAACATTATGAGAAACTATGAAATAAGAAACAACGATAGAAAACGAACCTTCCCACGACAGTGGAAAGAGTCTGAAGGTAAGTATCAATCATTTCTTCACGAGAGGGTTTAGGGTCTTTAGGAAACTCCATCACAATGAGCCAGTGGTTGTAGTCGCAACCGGGAAGCAAAATCGTCTCCTTGTCGTCATTGCTTCCGCTTCTCTTGGAAGAGTAACCTTCATTCGCCGCCGCGCGAATCCGGATAGGGTTTCGGGTATGGATTTTGGTACAGATGGAGAGATTGTTGAAATTGAGAGATGAGGTTTTAGCGTGATTAGGTAGGGTTAGGGTTAGGGTTTTGGAGGAGGCAGTGAAGGAAGAAAGTGTTGCCATTGGAAATGGAGAACAAGTTTGGGATAGTGCCATTGTTTGAAACGACGATAAGGCTCAGCGTTCAACTGGTTAGAAAAATGAAGTGTGAAATGAGGTATTTATGTGTTTTATTATACGACGTCGTTTTAGTAACTGCAACTACACTATGGGTTAGGTCTTAACGGACTACTAATATCAAACCCTATTACTCAAATTTAATAACTTCATACTTCCCATTTATATTTCTACCCCCTCAAGCACCTAATATTTTTAAATGTCCTTAATTTTAATAAACTAAAACTAATCTTATTTATAAAAAAAAAAACATTCAACCCTACATAATCAAAAATCCAAAAATCAAGAGTGTGTGTATTGGAGTAGAAAACGTGAACTAATATTTTCAAATGTCCTTAATTTAAAAAAAAAATTGATTTTTTTATATTTTTAAAAATAGATTTTATAAAATAGTTTTCTAAATATTATAAATATTTTTATATTCATTTTTTAAAATTAAAATATTAATTTTGACATTCTATAATACTGACATACATTATTAAAGATTACAACATAATTGAAATTATAATTCTTTTAAAAATTATATCTCAAAAATAATTTTTATGAAAAACTATCTGGAATAGTTTCAAAATTAAGTAGTTTTTAAAATTTTGATATTTAAAAGAAAAATTAATAAAATAATGAAATATTTAAAATAATATTTTAAGAATAACTATTCAAATTAAAATTTTCATTTGAAATTTTTATTAAAAAAAATTATACAATTTTTTTTACACAAAATTATCATTTAAAAAAAAAACTATAACGAATGGGACACAATCTTTAATTTTTTTAAGATAATAATATCATTATATATTAATATTTTATATATGGGAGTAATATTTATAGTATACGAGTCTTCCAAATTTATCTATTCATGTAATATTATTTATATGAGCATTTTATAAAGACGTAAGAGAGAAGGTGAGAGGAGCCAAAACTAGGGAGTTAAGCAACAAAGTCCAAAAAATATGAGATAAAAGTTTACTTGTGTTTGGGAATTAACCTTTTCTATTTTCGTCAACCCTAATAACTGGCAGATTTTATTCTGCCACCTTTCACTTTAACTTAACACCTTCATATATTTTAATAATAATAAAATTATTCTTCGTATTATTTACCTTTTAAAAAATTATATTTTATTAAAAAAATTCATTATGTAAAACCCATAAAAAAAAAAACAAAAAATATGGTAGCTTATTTAAAAATATTTGGTACGAAAATTTTCACAACAAAGAAAACTTTTGCATTTTTATCAGAAATTTAAAAATTTTATGAGTTTTTATAGTTTTTTTTTTTTTTGAAAATCTGGTATTTTTTTGCATTTTTGTCGGATTTTTTTTGTAAAAAAATCAGCTTTTTATTGCAATTTACTTGATTTTTTGGAAAAATTCGGCATTTTCTAGATAATAGTTGTGTTTTTATCACAGATTTCAAAAAGTTTGATACATTTCTACCATATATTTCAAAATATTCAAGAAACATTGGATAGTACCGTTTTTTTTATAAATTTGGTATATTGGATTTTTCGCATGAAACAAAAACTCCAATAGTTCTTAATGTTTCATTTGTATGGTCAAAATCCTAATGGTTCCCATGCAGATTTTACTTAGATTTTTACCACTGACGTGATATGTTTTACTTACATGTTTAATTTTTAACTTGTTAAAAATTAATAGGCTTATGATATCTCTAACATTGATAATTTGTTTTGTATATGTTGTAAATGAGAGGTATTTCTCTCCTGAGCTGACGTTTTGGCATGGGTACAATTTGTTGGTAAACAACATGGTATTATTGTTGTTACTATTCGTTTTGATACCACAAATGGGATCGGAGGAGGAAAGATAAATTGGTTGTCGGTTGTGAGAAAGGAGAAAATTACAAAAGGAAGAATGTGACTGAAGGAAGTTATAATATGAAAGTGAAATGTCCATTTATGTTGAGATCTATGTCAAGTGGAAGTGCTTAGAAGGTTACAATTAGGTATGAGTTTCACAATCATATAACAAGTAAGGACATAGATGGTCTTGAAGTATTAGGTCGTTTAAAAGATAATGAAAGAAAGTTTATGAATAACATGACTAAATACAATATGCCTCACATATACATAATTGTTGCTTTGAAAGATAGAGATCTAGACAACCTTACTAGTGTTAAACGGCAATATAACATAAGATATACATACAAGACATGCAAGAGAGGTCAATTGATTGAAATGCAACATCTGTTGATTCTTGTGAGGAAAAAGTTCCTCATACTTAGCTATACTTGTTTTAAGTATGTCAAAACATACATAGGTAGAAAAATGTACTTTGGACGGTATCATCATGTCGCATATGCATACCTTATTTCTCTTGCGTCAAACATTGGTCAAAAACATGTTTAGGTACATATAGAAAAAGTACAATATGTGCTCCATGTAGGTTTGATCATGTTGGTCTAGTTTGGGATATGTTAGGGTATCTTAAAAGTAGTCAAATAAATGAAAAGATGCATTTTTGCATATTCTGAGTCTTTGAGTTGACTCATAGACTGTTCAGGTCGACTCATACAGAAGTCATTTTTCATGTATTGCTCTCAGGAGTGCTCGCGTCGATCCTCCGGTCGATTCATACTGTGTGCATTTTTTATTGTCTATTTTTGTGTCCTATTCATCGACGCATGACTTGTTCTGGTAGACACAAAGTGTTGTTTTCTGCATAGTCTGAAATTGGGAGAGCTCAGGTCGACCCTACCTTTGCTGTAGGTCGACCGCTCGCGCGTTTTTCACCAAAATTCTGTTATGTGAAACTGTCAAAGTGTTTGTTAAGTTGGTTAATTATTTTTAAACTTGCATATATATTGAGTTAGCTCATTCTTCAAACATAACAAGAAAAGTGAAAATATACACTAATTTGGTTCTCGTCATTTTCATCCTCTTTCTTGCATTTTCTCAACAACTACACATGACCATTTTTGTTGTGTATTCTGCATCATTGAGGTGATAATGTCCAAACGTAGGATTGGTGTAATCAGGTTTGGGTTGAGAAATCAATGGATTTTCTTGAATAAAATCGTTAGGGTTTTGTCCTCCAAGAATCTTGGATTTTGGGGGGTTTTGCACAAATCGGTCCATCACAGATTTAGCCGAGCGAAGGTGTAGCGGTGGAAATAGGATATCAAATTATTAATTAATTTGAATCACAATTCTTGATTCACAACCGCTCTTTGATTTATCCGAAGGAAAAGGTCAAAAGAGGGAAAACCTATTTTTGCATCGTAAACACAATGCGGGGAAAGATCTAGGGTTCGGGGGTTGATTAAATTTAGGGAAGGTATTAGCACCCTAAACTTCTGTAGTACTCTACGGGAACCTTTTGTTCAGATGTTTACTATTTGCTTTATTTATTTGCTTAAGGTATATGTACAAAGGATTAAAAGTTAAAAAAGACCTAGGGGGTTAATTCTAAGTTTACTCGGCAAGACATCGCATCTTGTGCCTACGTATCCTTACGGGAGTGGAATCAGAGTAATCGTAGTTCCCCTCAAAAGGGAGGTTAGAGACTTCTTGACTGTGGTCAAGGTCTCAAGGGGAATGAACGCATCTTAAGGACACGCTTACGCGGAGTGTAGAAACTCCAAATTTCTACGTTGAAATGTTATGTTGTAATTAGGGTTAAATTAGGGATTACACGGCGGGAAACCCTAAAATGAGTGTGGCGACTCTTTGACCTAAAGCTAGGGGTAGTTTTGTAATTTTTGTCCACGGCGAGACATTTGTGAAAATTAGGGTTTGTAAGGTGTAAGGGTTTGAAGTTGAGGACTATTAGCGCGGCGACCAAAAGCTAGACCTAACCTTCGGATGTGTGTAGTGTGACAGGAGTATTGATGAATGTGTGAGATAATTGAATTGTGCAAACAGAGAATGATGTCCTAATTTAACTATGCAAGCAGAAATTTAAAGGCAGTAATTAAAGCGCGATTGTTAGGGTTCGCGAGGTTACAACCGAGAAGCAGTTACAATAATAATAAAACTTAAATAAAACACCACGCAATAGTAGTGAACATGAGCTGCAAAAGATGAACACCCGTTAGTAAACAAAGTTAGACAGTAATGGGACGGGTCAGGAGAAAAATGCAATATTGGAGATTTTTGTTGTTTTTAAAGAAAGAAATTTGATTAAGTTAAGAGATGTTAACATAAAAAAAGATTTAAGTTTAATTTTCAAAAAATGGTTTTTTACTTTTAATGTTTACTTAAAAAAAGTTTGATGTTATTACTTTTAAAAAACGTTTTTTTTTTCTATTTATTATTTTTTAAGAAAATTCTAATACTATTTATTTTAAAAAACCATTTGAATATTTAATTAAAAAAAGGTTTTAAGAAAATGATTTTAATATAAAAAAACAATTTAAAAACAGAAAATAAGAATGAAAATAAAGAGGGTTGGGCCGGTCATCACTTCCGGACCCAACCCGGTTAGTGAGTAACAAAAATCAAAACGCAAACTTAGGGTTTCAGAACCCTGTTATCCCTTCGCGGCGCCGTTGTTACTTCTCTCCGTTATCGCTTCCGATTCGCCTCTCTCCTTCTCGACTCCACCTGAAAACAATAAACAAAACGGGGATTGATAAATCTTGAAGTTGGATTGCTCACTCTTTTAGAGAGTTCGCAGCGATCCAACAACCGGTGATGGCAATGTTCTCTTGAATGTTTGGATCCCTGGATCGCGACGGTGTTTGTAGGCGATGATGAGAGCTGAACAATGCTATCTGAGCCATCGTGGTTTGTTATCCGCCATTCTTTGTGCTTTTTCCCATCCCGTCTCCGTCTAGGGTTTCGTTCGCGATTTTTGTTCGCGATTTCCGTCTTCTCTCTCGGTTGTCCCTTTGTCTTCGCCGTTAGCCCGTTAGGGTTTCAACATGGTGATGTTGTTCCTTTTATAACTTCTCTTTTTGGGCTTTGGATCTTTGAGCTTTAATTTTCAAATCTGACATGCTGATGATTGGATTTGATT